TGTGATAGGTTTCCACAGTAATCTTTATGCTGCATTAGAGACATAGATACAGAGGTACTGTGCTGTGTTCTTGCAACGGTGAGGTGCCCTGCTGGGAACGTTAAAGAAGGAATAAGGCACCGAAGAGAAGGCGTTGTCTTTGTTGTAGAAGATCCTTGGTTATACAACGCCAGCTGCAGCAGGAGGTCGGTGAAGGGGTCTCAGTTCATGGTAATTACTTTAAGTCTTTATCTCCCATGGAAAACACGGCCATGCATGAAATGAAGCGTGTTCATCGTGTCATCTGTTTAATTTGATCCTTCTTTGTTAATATCATGGGTACTTCAGCACTCCGTACTAAAATGCATTCTCCCAGGGAGAAGGCTTGCCTGGTAAACAGCTTAACCTTATTCACGAAGGAATATTGTTTCTACCTGGATTCAGGAGTGCATGTGCTTGGGAGTGATTCTTATTGGTTCTCTTCTGCTTTAGAAAGCCCGATGTTCCCTCAATTGAGGTGTCTTTGTAGGTGCGTTCCGGTACCCAGCCGACTTTGTTTGCATTGCGTCCAGACTCCCTGAATAACAATCGATCAAGGAGAATATAGTGAAACACTTTAATTAGGACAGGGCAGCGACTCTAGCAGGAGAAGCAGCGTCTTAGCAGAAGGAAGTAATGTGCTATTGTTTCTTCAAAGATGTGTGCAGCCTTCATTTTGGATGGTGTTCTTTGTCTCACCTTTTGTAGTTTTCATTAAGCCTTTTTAATATAGAGAGTGTTCACATATCCCATTCTGCTAAAAATAGTTGAAGTGCATATTTGGCTGTGCCTAAACTGGAAATTTTTGACTCATGGCTTTGTTTAACAGTACGTTGCTTTTGGAGTTTAAATGAAATCACAAGAAGGTGGGGTTCTTACTGCTTACTTTGACTACTATTTGACAACATTTTTTATTTCTATTAATGGCTCCCTGGATTATTTTCCAAATCTAACAATAAATGATCTTAAATTCTGTAATAAAGATGGTACATTCTGAAGGAAAAATATTTTCAATGGGCAAGACTGGGGTTCAAAAACACAAACAAATGCAGCCTGAGCGAGTTTTTGCTTCTGGGTGTGCCTTTTTCCAGAGTCCTATTTTATGCCAAAAGAGCCCTGCTTCCATTTAGTCCTCAAACTTAAAAATTGATGTCCTTCCATATCTGAGTGTGGAGTCCACAGAAACTTGTGTATTGAGTCACCAGTCCCAGGGCTGGCTGGCTGCCACCATGCGTCTGCTGTCAGCGGGGAGCCCTGCTGATCTCTGAATGCCGTCAAGAACTCTTTCCCTGCCCCTTTCCAGCCAAACACTGCAGTTTACCTATTTTGTTAAAGTAACTGCTCTGATCTGGAGCTCTATCCTGGTTAAAGGGTTCTGTGTGATCTCCGGCAGAGGGAAACTTCAGGATACTAACTGTGCCTCGCTCCCCCACCCCACGGTCCCGCCCTTGTCCGTCCTGGGGGTAATAAATCATCCCACGTAAAAGCCCACTCAGGTAACAGTGCTCAGCGGGGGTAAAGAGGACTATTGGGAAAATTTGCCGTGTATTGTGATAGAGCACCGTCTGCAATAAGCAAGTTTGGAAGTCGTTACTTGTAATACGGTGTCTCTGTGACTGGAGCAGCCGGAGGTGTGTACCGTTTTGAGACACGTGCGTGGGGAAAGGGACACGAGGATGGGCGTTCTACTCCGTGCCCCGCGGGCCGTCTTGATGCAGACGCGCCTCGGTCCCACCGCAGGCGGCGCAGCCCGAGCGCGTTGGCCCCTCCTCGGACGTGCAGACTCCTCCTATCTCACCCCATCATTCTCCGCCTGACGTGCTCCCTTGCTGCGGGTCAACAGTTAGGCCTGGACTGTCATTGGGAAGGGGGAGTTGAAGCAATTCCCTGATAGTCTCTCTCTCTCTCTCTCAATGTCCTGAAATACTTCAGAAGTACTCCCTGAAGCACTCTCCAAATTCTTGGAGAATTTGTAAGAAGTAGTCTGCCTTAAAAGTAAATTTCCTGTTGTCCTTTCTTTTCTCCACTGCCCAAGGATTGGACAGTTGTAAAGACTGCATAGACCTCCTTTGTGAGCAGAGCCCTGTGGAGCTGTGTCCCAGACAGCCGTGGGAAGTAGTTCTAAGGGATGTCACTTCTCAAGGGCTGGATCTGTGTAGAGCCTTTCTGTGTGGAGGAGGAACTTCTTAAACACTTTAATAGAAATGTACGTGTGTATTGTATAATGCACTGGTGTTATGATATCCCAAAGGGCCTTTTAACATATACTGAAGGGGCATTTTTATAACAGGACTAAATAAATGGTATTTATGTGTTTGCAAAGTAAGCAAAATATGCACTGTTATCTTCAGGTACATCAGATTGTAACTTGCTTTTTTTTTTTTTTACTACACTATGAGGAATCTTTACATATTTCTGAGACAAGAAAATAAAAATAAATTTCTTGGACACTTTAAAATTTTGTTCTTTCTCCTCCTTATAATTCCATAGCTCTTTACTGATGAGAGAATGACATTTCTGACCAATCAAAAATAGGTCTATCAGCAGGAACATAAACATAGACTATCATAAAATTAAAACATTATCTGTTTAAGGGATAACTTTCTTTTTCTCCTAGGGGCTTATAATTACAACAGGAAAAGTGGCAATCAGTTTAAAATCTGAAAGTCATTCCATGTAAAATACAATGTGCCACAAAGCAAGTAGACTGAACAAGGTTTGCAGAATAACTGTAAAAAGGACGGAGCAAAGGCATGTAACAACAGCATGTAGGATGTTAAGAGTTCCAGAGTGATACCTGTAGCTGGCTTCATGCGTGGTCACTTGGGCATCTGTGATAGCAGAAAAACTGAGAGATCTGTCATTAGCAACTGATAAATATTTCAGGGTTGACCTTCCCAAGGTTGCCTGGATTGGAAAAGTATTTTAAGAGATATTAGGCCTTTCATCTAAATGTAGTTATTTTTTCTTTTATTATTGTATTCTCTAATCATGAGCCACCATATGCTAGACTGTAATAAGCTTTATTGAGAGAAAGATAGTAGCCACAGTCCCTTCCTGCGAGAAGCACCTACTGAGGAAGACAAATAGCTAAATAAATAATAATATGGGTGCAAGGAACAGACAGAGACACCTTGCTCGGTGATACCAAGGTGGGGCGACCAGTTCTTTAGAAAGGGGTGAGGGAGGCCAAGGAAGGACTCAGGAGAGAGATGATGCCCAGTCCAGAGCTTATGACTTTCTGTCTGTCTTGACACCATACATACTACTGTTAATGTTATGTAGGAGGTGGTGTGGCCACAGATCTGTTTCCTATTTTGTACTGACTTTAAGTTTTACCAAGTCCTCTTATTTCTGACATATAATAAAGTATCATTTCTCTTCTTCCCCCTACTAACTCTTCTCAAAACACATTACAACATGGTTGCATGAAAATATTTTTATCTTTAATAGATTTATATCACATAGGATTTGAAATTTTTTAATATATCCAATAATTTAGAAATGCATCTTAGGGGAATCACAAAACACTTTCAATACCGTTGTACTCTAAGTAATTTGGTGATTACTTTTGGAACTATTTGCATTGGCAGGAATTATCATTTGCTCCTGGATGCCTATAGACCCTTGAAAGTCATTTATTTTCTTGAGCTCATTTAAGAAAGCTTGTAAAACTCGGGCTTGGATTAAAACACTTGCATTTCACCTTACCACGATTAAAACATCTGCTTTTGTTATATATAAAATTGGATTTAGATATTTCTTAAATCTTCCCAAATTTGGAACAGGAGGTTAACTTTAAGCGTCATTACGTCTTGCCACCAGTAAAATCTCTACTTGAGAACAGATGCTGCATTTCCACTTATGCAGGGCCTGCTGTCAGGAAATCCTCCTCATTATATAGTCAGGCTTCTACACTGACTTCCCGCTGTCCTTACCCCACCCCCTGGCTGAGTTGGAGGTATTCCCCCTTGGGGCTAAGTGTTGCCTGTGCCAGCAGCTCCCAGACCCTGCTCACTGCCAGGAAACAGCTCCTTTCTCTTGTCCTTCTCTCTGATTTGTTCCTTCCCAGGCTTCTTCTTTGCTACCCACCTTTTATGTAGTTGTTCTCGAAGGTTCTGACCTTAATCAGCTTCCGTGTCTACACCACCTGCTCTCCATTGCTTAGTGCATCCACCGCCACACCGTGGCCACTGTTCCCCACCCTCCCCAGCCACACAGACCCCCTGCGTTCCCTGCACACCCAGGAGAGCTTCTGCCTTGGCTGCTCCCTCTACCTGGACTGTGCTTCCCTGAATAGCCCATGGCTTGTTCACTCACTGCCTACGGGGTTTTGCTCAAGTAGAGCCCTTAGAAGGCTTACTTCTCTGGAATGTAAACTCCACAAAGTCAGAGATTTTAAGTCTTAAGCCCCAGTGCCTTGAGGTACTTGGTCCATTGAAAGTGCTCAGTCAGTTCCTGTTGAATGAATGGATGAATGAATGAATGAATGGTTTCTGGCTTGGGAGTGCTACAGTGCAGATGAAGGGTGCTCCTGCAACAGTCGAGAGCTCTGCCTCAGACAGCTGAGTGGTGCCTCAGTTTCCTGTTCTGCAGATAGTGTTCCTGGTGGGCTCTAAGGCCCTTCGAAATGCCTACACTCTATCACAGTTCTGGAAATGTAAAACATCATTTATGTGGCTTCTCACAACTTGATCTTGTTATTCTTTCCATATAATTGCTGTCTGTGGTTAGATGTCTCCTCTAAAAAAACAAAAAACAAAAAAACCAATAGTTGAAGTAAGTAAAATACTTAGTTTCTAAATGAAGAATGTAGAAATAAATACATTTTGGTTTACTGACATATTTGCTGTCTATTTTTTTTAAAGATGTATTGACCAATTTTAAAAGAATTACTGTTTTCTCTTGCTAAATGTATTTAATAGCCTGCTTATTTTCGTCAAATAAAAAAGCAATAGTGATCTTTTTTTCTTTGATTTTAGATATTTCCTGCTACAGAGAGCACTTTAGGAAAGGAAAGCTTCCCAGTGACCTCTGCCTGCTGTCCATAAATTGTTCATTCCCCCTTCAGGTAAGTATATTGCTTTGCTTTGATCCATTTTAAGCAGAAGGTATTGATTCTCTGTGAAAACCTATGTCATTATTGCATTAGGACATAGAAACTGATGTTTCAGATATTTTGCTCTCTGGCACAAAAAAAACCAAAACAAAACAGGAGTCCCCATCTTTGAGGTTCTTGCCAGGACTGAAATACCAGTGATGGAGATTTGCTTTTCCAGGAAGATCCATGATACACCTTCTGCATATCTGCTGTTGCTATGGTTTGTTAGCCATATGTGCATGGATTTGAAGACAACTTAAAAAATGAACATCCTAACACTTTAGTGAGAAGTCGCTCATCTGTGGTTGGGGAATGAGATGGTGGGGTGGGGTCACCGGCAAGGGCACCAGGGGTTTGGTGGTGGGGAGAAATCTTTGCAGGATGGTCTCACAAGGGAGACAAAGTCAAGATGGCAGAACCTAAATACCAGCCCAGGAGCTGAGACCAGAGGGCAGGGTAGGGGTTGGAGGACCTCCAGGTCAGCAGACCTGGGAATGCACAGGTGCTTTGTCCACATCCACACCACTCCCGGGATTCTTTCCTTGTTTCCACAAGCTGATGCAGAGCCTGGAAACATCCTTTCCAGGTCTCTTCCTGCAGCCAGACCCACTCCTATGAAGGAGCTGAGGAAGTGGATGAACAGTGGTCATGGTCCAGTTGGTTGCCCCCTCTTACGGAGGTGCTGGGAGTTCAGTACCACCAAAAGGGGAAGTCAGGAACGTTTAGGAAAATGGGAGGCAACTCTCTAGTTCACTTATATCTGCTGCAAGTTGAAGAGTTATAAAGATCAACCCTCATGAGACTGGGTGCCCATGTTTCCAGTGACCACATGTTTTGATTGGTCTGACAGCCTTCTCCAGCATCCGTTTGTAATGTACTTCCTCGGTGGCCTAGTGGTGAGCATAGTTGCCTTCTGTTTGTAACGTATCATTTCTTAGATAGTGTATTAGTCCGTTTTTGTTGCTTATAACAAAATACCTGCAACTGGGTGATTTATAAAGAAAACAAAATTTATTGCTTAAAGTTTCTGAGGTTGGGAAGTCCAAAGTCCATCTGGTGGTGACAACAGTGACCCAGGTGTCTCACCTTTGCAAGATGATGGAAGCAGAGAGAGCAAGAGAGAGAGAGACAGACTCTCCTTTAAAGCCCTCAGAACCACACCCCTGACCACCATTTTTAATCCATTCACTACTTCATGGTCCTACAATCCAATTACCCTTTCAGGTCTCCACCTTTCAATTACCATAATAGGATTTCCTGGCCTGTTAACAGTCACAGTGGGACCTAAGTTTCTAATACATAAAACTTGGGGGACACAATTCAAGTTCCAGTGAGTTTTGGGAGGTCATAATTCAATCCACTACAGATAGTATGCCATGCATTTTATCATTTATTATTATTGCATTGTGCAGGATATTGTAAGGTGAAAGTTATCACTCTCCAAGAACCTCAGAACCTAACTTAGGCTGACAAGTAAAAACCAGCCTGTGCCAGGTGGAATTCTGTACTCTATAGGAAGAGACGAATTAAAGAAAAAGCAAATAGCACACCCCTCAGTGCTATATTCTCAAATTCATCACCATCTTGCTTATCTTCTGTGCCAGATAGAAGAAGCTCTTGACATGAAAGCCTGGGGCTCCTGTTGGCTGGAACTCAGTATCTCCCATCCCTTATAGAGTTAAGGTTGTAGAGTTGCAACGTAGCATATGTGGAATTAATAGGGAATGCCTTCTGACAGGCCTGTATACTCCACTCTGCATATAGGGAGCTCACCCATCCTGGTTTGCCCATGAGTGAGGAGTTTTCCTGTGACACAGGACTGTCAGTGCTAAAACTGGGAAAGTTGGAGCAAGCAAACCAGGACATGTTGGTCCCGTTCATGATCCCATCACCCCTACTCTCTCGTACACAGCTACGTGGTGTTTCTGCTCACCAGGAGGCTGTGGACAGCAGTTGAATTTGTAGCCCCAGTGACCAGGAAAAAACTGGGCAGTTGCACAGACCTGGGTGCAACTTCAGCTGTGCTGCTTACTAACCATGAGGAGGGACTGAGTTAGACTGTTTTTCTTCTGTGAGCCTCAGTTTCCCATATGACAAATAAGAATAACAGCAAGTCAGCAAGGGTGTTGGGAAAGTGACAGAACAAAGCAATGGGAGGTGCCTGGCATAAGTAACTGCCTGTATCAGGAATGTTAGAAAGAACACAACCATGTAACTCATCACAATGTCAGCAGGGTTGTAGGCAATGTCTTACTCCCTATATCTAATTCTCAAATTATGTCAGGTCAGTGTGTGCAAGTTACTTTGAGTGGTTTTTATATCAGTTTTCCTGCTTTAAAAAATGTTATGAAAAGCATAGTTTTTTCTTATCCATAGCCAGTTGTTTTAAACTTTCAGGCTGTTCCTGCATTTAAGGTTCATTAAAACTTTGTTCTTTTCTAAACTCAAGTTACAGATAAGCAGTCTTATGAATACATAGGTATTATTATCATCATTAACATTTTTCACTACTCTCAGTGAGTGCATTTATGATTACTTTGTTTTTAGAAAACAACCTGGGTCTTTTTTAAAGTGGTTCCTTGTTTAAAGAAACTGAAAAGGAAAATGAAAGCCTGAAATAAAATGATCTTTTAATGTTCTTTTGGTCAAACTTTTTTGAGTTTTTTCATTTTAGAACATGAAACCTCCTGAGTAATGTATGTATAAGTCATTTTTAAAGGAATACACAAGTGTCCGTTTCTGTGCATTATTCATGTGATTGCAATTTCAGGAAACAAGATAGAAGGTTCCTCTGTTTTTAGTTTCTTGATATCTTAGTCAAACTTAAGCAATTGAATATCAGTTTCTCCTTGAAAGTTTCCTTTTTCAGAACTTCTCTGGGACAGATTTTTGCTCTTTTATATTGTGAGTGCTAGATATTTGAGAAATTGCTGGGAGCAAAAACAACCCTTGTACATTTTTTTTGTTAAATGGTCCTGATCAAAAATATGTGCTAGTTTTCCCCAAACACTGCTTTTTCCAATTCGATGTTTCCTAAAGCCGGTCTCGCATAACGAACGACTGGTGCCTTGCTATGACTCAGCTGCCTTTCATGCCAGCACCTCTGACTTTTCCCTCTTACAAGTCAGCTCTTTGCAAAGAGAATGTCTGAGAGCTCAGGTTCTACCAGTACATCAGGTATGGCTCTTCCAAGGCTGTCTCAGCTGACCTTGACCAAGGTCTCCTCGGGAACCTGGGAATGTCGGCCACGTCCAGAGGAATGAGGCTTGCTCCCTACTTTTTTAAAAAGAAGAGAAAGAGGAAAGAGCACTCTGGGAAAAGTAGCTGGGATTTTAGATGTTTTATTCTCCTTATTTACAAAAATTGTATCAGCTTCAGTAAGGACAGATACAGGGGTAGTTCCAGCTCTAAAAGAAAATACTCCTATACTCAGAAAGAAAGCATAGGAAAGAGGAAAGAGCACTCTGGGAAAAGTAGCTGGGATTTTAGATGTTTTATTCTCCTTATTCACAAAAATTGTATCAGCTTCAGTAAGGACAGATACAGGGGTAGTTCCAGCTCTAAAAGAAAATACTCCTATACTCAGAAAGAAAGCATAATTCTATTTTTGAGGATATAAGACATCCATTATGACATTCAAAACTGTATTAGTCCGTATTTGTTGTTTACAACAGAATACTTGAAACTGAGAAATTTGTAAAGAAGTGAAATTTATTTCTTACCGTTTTGGATGCTGAGAAGTCCAAAGTCCAGGGAACACATCTGGTGAAGGCCTTTTTCTTGGGGGTGACCTTCCGCAACAGCATGGGATGTCACATGGCCAATGGCTAAGCAAGAGAGAGAGTTAACCTCCTCATTCACTCTCCTTTATAAAGCCATCAGAACCACACCCACTACTCCATGAACGGATCACCCCATTCATGAGTGTACAGTCCTCACTATCTAATCACCTCTCAGAGGCCCTATCTTTCAATTACCATAATAGGAATTCCCAACCTCTTAACACTGTTACAATGGTGGCCAAGTGTCCAACATACAAACTTTTGAGGGACACATTTAAACCATAGCAAAGAGTTTGAGGATTTAATGTCCATCTATTATGAAGCTTAAGAAGTATAGATTACAATTTAAATTGTTAAATTACCAATTAAATTATTTGGCACATTTGAAATTTTTTTCAGTCAAATGAAAGACAAATTCTATATTACTGTGTATGCATAGTTTTTGTTGTTGTTAATTATTAATGGTTGTTACAATATAAGTTGGGTCATTATCAGTGTAGTTACTGGTATTCCTACAAACATCAGTGGAAAGAAGAATGGTGTGGGTTCAGGCCCCTGGTCTGTGGAAGGGCTGCTGGGTGAGCACTGTGTGGGCTGCCAGGTGCCTCATCTGCAGTCTTCACTTGCCCTGCAGAGAAGGCTTTACAATCTTCATTGTGTATGTGGGGGAAATAGGAATCAAAGAGGGTAAACCTCAGACCAAAGGACAACCATGTGATGAGACACATACTGGGTATGAAACCAAATCTGCCCAAGGGTTTTCTATCAGACCCCACCAGACCTTGTACACTGGTCGATTTCTTTATAAAGAGGGGGTCATAAATTCAATGGGAAGGTTGGCGGAGGAAACTGGGCAGTGGGGAAGGTGGAATTGGGAATGTTAGAAGGACACATGCATGTCTGGTGGAATATTAGAATGATTCCATGGAAACCTGGAAGTCTTCATTAATGAGAGAAGGAAAGAGACCAAAAAGTTAAGGAATGAGGGACAAGACTGTAAGAGGACACAGGCTAGAGAGAGGAAGACATTCACAGTGATTGCAGTTGTGCCAGGAAAAATACTAGATTTCAAGACCCTCCTGTTTTCTTCCCAACCTGTAAAGTGTCTGCTCCCGTCCCAAGGTGTGGATTGAGAAGGTGTTCGTGTGTGGTGACTAGCCAGAGACGTTCAGGGAGACGGTGCTCGTC